TAAAATGAAAGAATAGGACTGTGACGTGGCGGTGAGTTGTAATAATAAAGTTATTCCTATCTTTTCAAATGTTTCAATACAATATTTGATCTTTCATAAACGTTTCAAAAATATTCTTKGAGCAAACATACATTAATATTTTGAACGGATAGTTGATGTGGTACAATTTGGAACAATGTAACAATTAACGTGAAGCTTCTTCCACATTTTCGATCTTTTCAGACTTAAATTTTCCCTAAAATGTTGATACCAAATTCTGGACGAGTTGAGGTTTGCGGCGAGCTCCTCTTGGTTGAGCTATTTAAAACACGGTATTCAAAAAGACTTGCACGCAATGAATAAACACTCCAACGTTCAAGTCAGTCTAAAGATCGAGCTAGTATGTAAGTTTCTAACAAAAGTACATACCTGTGTGTGGGAGAGTGCGTATTTATAGGAGTCGGGGGAGAGCTCGTACTATTTCAGCCATCTTTTTCCGCAAAAAACACGCCTCACCTTTCAATAACATTTAAAAAACGTCACAAAAAATACAGTTTTCCATGCTTTTGTAATGCTTTTTAAACGTCATGAGAAGGTAGAAATTCGGTGAATCCTTTTGTGACGTTTTGTAAACATCACAAAAAATATGTTTTCTTCCAACATTTTGTGACGGTTAAAAGAACGTCACAAAAAGTATAAAAATCAGAAAAACTCAGTATTTTCCCGCAAAAAACGCACCTCACCTTTTGTGTCATTTAAAAAGCGTCACGAAAAGCTAAAATTCTTGAAAACACCCTTTTTTTTCCAGCCAAAAACGCGTTTTTAACATTTTGTGACTTCTTTTTCAACATTTTTTACTATTCATGAGCATTACRAAAACCCAAAATTGTAGTAGTGACACGATTGTAACTTGTTCCCCTTCGTACCTCCCAAAATTAAAAGTAGACCACCTGTAATAAATCCATGTGGCAGGCTATATTTTATCCTTCAACAAAAATTTCATTTTCCTAAATTGTTAACAAAATTTGTTTCTCCATTGTCGGCCCAATTTTGTGCTAACTCCCCTTATAAAAAGATAGCGTTTTCAATATTTCCTCACTTTCAAATTTAATCCCGTCAAACTTCTACATTAGCTGCCATGTCGTTTTAGATTCTAACATGTCAACTTTGTGTACTTGTGTGTTTTAAAACAATATTTTTGAAATATTTATAAAATATCAAAGATAATATTGAAACTT